ACTTTCTATGCTACCTTGTACTTCTACTACATTTATTTTACAGCAACGAAACCTATCATGAATGATAGAAATATGATGTTTTTTAGTAGTCAATTCAATTCAATTCAAAACCTTTATTTATCCAGATGAAATCCCATTGAGATCATTGATCTCTTTTTCAAGGGAGACCTGCAGCAGTAGGTTCCACATGAAGACATAAAAACATAAACAACTGAACAACAAAAGGACATCATAGTCTCAATTATTCCTCACTACATGTAAGTACACATAAAGTGATGAGTGGGTTGACAGGATACTAATTGGCTGTATTTTTTAAGTATTTTTTGCATACACAAATTCCACAGTTCCAGCTTTTTGAATGTGAAGATTTGGTGCTTTCCCTTTTATATATTTTCATTTATTTTTAATGTATTATTTTGCATTGACACTTTCCTTATTATAATTATTTCCTTTGTCTTAAATACCATTCCTCTATGCAGTGATTTTGCTTGAAATGTAGTGTTTTTACAGTTTGGAATAAGCACTTTTATTGAGGTAAATTATGTAAACACCCTTTCCACCACTGGTACAATAGCCAAAATAAGTCACACTTTAACAATAGAGTATGTTTCAGTACATCTCCATAAAAATGAAAAGCCACATTCTCAGAGGGGGGGGGTCAGAGAAGATTTGAGGTATTGGGATACTGGAGAGCGACCAAGAATCCAGGAATTGTTATATGTTTTTGAGAAGTTATGCAACTAACAGTCAGCACACTGAAACCCAACACACACACACACTCACACACACGCACACACACGCACACACACATACACACACACACACACACACACACACACACACACACACACACACACACTTAGACACACACACACTCGCTGATTTGTTAAACGAAGGCTCAGCATGACACGGCAACATTCCTGCAACAACGTGTGCGTGTTTGTCGTTTTAACAGCTCTGGGTGTGAGTAGTTGGAGGCAGACGTGTATTAAAGAGAGCTCAACGGGGTCACATGTCTTCAACATCTCACTTTAACAATCACACGTTGCCCCATCCAAGAGCTAATAATACCACTTTGTTTCATTTAGTGCTAGCTTTAACGCTCGTAATCGAATTGAGCTCAGATTTAAAGATGGAAACGAGGGGACGAGTGAAGAAAGAAAAAGGGGCCTCGGGGGTGAAATGTGAAATTTAGAAAGGAAATGTTGGACTATATCGTTCTCGATTTCATGGCTTTTAAAGTCCTTGATCAGTTTTCAGCTGGCAGGTGACTCTTCCTCTGTGAGTCTAGGATTTACCGAGTTCTCCACGGTGCTTTAACACACCTTCACAAAATGCCAGATGAAGCCAGATTAACATTTAGCCATGAAGTGGACAGGTCCCTTGTATCTAGTTAAAAATAACGACAAAGTTGCTTATCAAGACAAGGCAAGTATCATTTACTTGAATTAAGTCATAGGATCTTCCTTAGAAAGCACGAGATAATCTATTTAAAGGTCACCTATTATGCAAAATCCACTTTTCCATGTCTCTTCTACATCAGCATGTGTCCCCTCTTCTTCATGTCTCTTCTACATCAACATGTGTCCCCTCTTCTCCATGTCTCTTCTACATCAACATGTGTCCCCTCTTCTTCATGTCTCTTCTACATCACCATGTGTCCCCTCTTCTTCATGTCTCTTCTACATCAACATGTGTCCCCTCTTCTTCATGTCTCTTCTACATCAACATGTGTCCCCTCTTCTTCATGTCTCTTCTACATCAACATGTGTCCCCTCTTCTTCATGTCTCTTCTACATCAACATGTGTCCCCTCTTCTTCATGTCTCTTCTACATCAACATGTGTCCCCTCTTCTTCATGTCTCTTCTACATCAACATGTGTCCCCTCTTCTTCATGTCTCTTCTACATCAACATGTGTCCCCTCTTCTCCATGTCTCTTCTACATCAACATGTGTCCCCTCTTCTTCATGTCTCTTCTACATCAACATGTGTCCCCTCTTCTTCATGTCTCTTCTACATCAACATGTGTCCCCTCTTCTTCATGTCTCTTCTACATCAACATGTGTCCCCTCTTCTTCATGTCTCTTCTACATCAACATGTGTCCCCTCTTCTTCATGTCTCTTCTACATCAACATGTGTCCCCTCTTCTTCATGTCTCTTCTACATCAACATGTGTCCCCTCTTCTTCATGTCTCTTCTACATCAACATGTGTCCCCTCTTCTCCATGTCTCTTCTACATCAACATGTGTCCCCTCTTCTCATGTCTCTTCTACATCAACATGTGTCCCCTCTTCTTCATGTCTCTTCTACATCAACATGTGTCCCCTCTTCTTCATGTCTCTTCTACATCAACATGTGTCCCCTCTTCTTCATGTCTCTTCTACATCAACATGTGTCCCCTCTTCTTCATGTCTCTTCTACATCAACATGTGTCCCCTCTTCTCCATGTCTCTTCTACATCAACATGTGTCCCCTCTTCTTCATGTCTCTCTACATCAACATGTGTCCCCTCTTCTTCATGTCTCCTCTACATCAACATGTGTCCCCTCTTCTTCATGTCTCTTCTACATCAACATGTGTCCCCTCTTCTTCATGTC